TATATTAAATATTTATATATATATTTTATATATTTATAATTTTTTTTTATATATATATAATTGCATTAGTTTTATGTAAAAGTTGAGAATATACGTCCAATTAAGTTGGATAATAGCAATGAAGAGAAATGGTTGGTACGTGTTAAACATTTAAAAACTCAACATACGGAGGAACATCGATACGATGCAGTTATGATTTGTAACGGGTATATTTTGTTTTCTTCGTTATTTGTATAAGACTTTTTTATAGGAACATTTAATCCTGAATTTTATTTATTTTTTTTAGACACTATTTCGAACCCTATATGCCTGTTATAAAAGGTATGGACACTTTTCCTGGTATAGTAATGCATAGTCATTCATATAGAAAACCGGAAGAATTTAAAGATAAAAAAGTATTAATTTTGGGTGCTGCCAGTTCTGGTATCGATATTGGAATTGATTTAGTTCAACATTCCTCTATCATTTACTTAAGTCATAATCAAGAAAGGTTTTTTAATTATCATTATTATATTTATTTTATAATAATAATAATAATAATTATTATTATTTTTATTAATTATTTTTTAATTATCATTATAATATATTTATTATATATATACACACACACGTATACATATAATTTTTTTTCTAATGTTTACACGTATAGATTCACGAGCGTATTTCCGTTTAACATGATCCAAGTTGTTGGAGTTGACAGATTGGAAGGAACGAAATGTTTTCTAAAAGATGGAACTTCCGTTACTATCGACGTCTTTCTTTATTGTACTGGATACCAATACAGTTTTCCTTTCTTAGATGAAAGTTGTGACGTCAGAGTCGATGATAATTATGTAACCCCATTATACAAGCATCTTATTAATATAGAACATCAAACAATGGCTATCGTTGGTATACCATCACAAATAGTACCCTTTCCTATGTTTCATATACAGGTATATTTATTTCTCTATAGATATTTCTTATTTTTATTATTTATTAAATAACAGTTTTGTCTGATTTTTTTTTTAATTTAACATTTGAAATAAATATTATCGAATATAAATATATTGAAATAAAATTAAAGGAAGAATGTATAAAAGAGAAAATAATTTTTTTATAGGTACAATATTTTTTAAATATTTTAAAAAATCGTTTTGTTTTACCTTCAAAATCTCAAATGCTCGAAGATTCAAAATTGAAAACCTTAAAAAAAAGACATGCACATAGAATGATGACCGAGCAATGGGAATATAACGATTCTTTGGCAAATACAGGTCAATTCAATCGACTTCCAGCATTTTATAAAGCTGGTTATAAGGCATGGCATTCGAAAAAAAAGGGTAATCTTTTGCATTACAAAGATGCTAAATTTGTCGTATCCGAGAATGGTAAAGATGTCGAAATTGTCTTACCTAATTAATAATATTAAATAATCGTAAAGTGATTAAACATTAAAGGACATTAATAACTTTGATATATAAGGGTGAGTTAGCTAATGTTAGTACCTAAAATATTTTTGTTGTTTTTAAAGATATATTAAATGTCTTGAAAAAAAAGGTGAAAAAATGGTGGTTCCATTAAAAAAAAATGAAGGTGAATTTGATATATTTAAAAAATATGACATAAATGAAAAAATATTTGTAGCATCGAAAGAGTCCCATTGAACCGTGAATCGTGAACCGTGAACTTTTTTCTTAAGAAAAATTTGACTTATATTTAAAAACAACAAAGATTTTAAGGTACCAACGTTAGTTGGCTCACTCTGTATATATATATACTTATATGTGTATCAATAAATATATTGTTTAACATTATCGAAATAAATAATCGTATTTCGTAACATTGTCGTCATATTAATTTCGGTCTTAATGTTTTCCAATGTTATTTTTTATCCAATCACGAAGTAGAATAGCATCGGTATAAACACCCGGCTGATTTGGGCGTGCACATCCATCACCCCACGATGTCACAGCGATTAAAACATTATCCATATTGACCATTGGTCCACCTGAGTCACCCTAAGCGTAAACAATGTAATAAATCATATCATGATCATTCGAATATTTTTAATTAAGATTAAAATTATTGATTCTTACTTTACAAGCGTCATGTCCTCCCTCATTCAATCCATAACATACTTGAGTTTCAGTTATGTCAAAGCTACCTGAATAATCTTTTTTACATTTTTTTTTCGATACCTTTGGTAGTATAACGTATTGCAATTCTTCGGAGAGAACCGGATCAAAGTTCTTGTAATTATAAATTATGATAAAAATGATGATTAAAAATATTTACTTATATATAAATGTATATATTAAGGAAATTTGTATTATTATTATAATAGTTTTCATTATTATTAGTTTTTTACCAAAAAGTATCCCCAACCAGCTACAAAGCCAAAATCACTAGAAGTCGATTCATTAAACGGTATCTTTAATGGCTGAGTAGTATTATCATATTTAAAAGGTGGGTGTATCTTTAGAATCGCGATATCATAATTGTTTGTATTCGGATCAAACTTTTTATGGTTAATTACTTTTACTACATTGTGAATGACACCACCTTTGTCTCTAAAAGAGGATCCGCTACGAACTGTGGAATCATTTATACGTCTAGCAACTCTACAAATCGGATATTTATTTCAGTATAAAGTTCTTCTTATTTTTTTTTTTGAATTTATTGTATTATTCAAACTTACACTTGGGCACAATGTGCTGCCGTTATAGCGAAATTCTCGTTAAGAATACCACTACCACATATGTGTTGGCCTCCCAACATGAGCGAGAGCTAAATAAAATTATTGGATTAATAAATCAATCTAATAAATTATTTTTTTTATTTATATTTTGTTTGTTTGTTTGTAATAATTTTATTAAGTTTATTATATCTTACCATGTATGGAACGAACGTTATGTTTATATATGCGCCTCCAACGATCCTATTATTCGATGGTTGGAGAAACATTTTTTATTAATGGTATAAAATCGTAATACATACGAAAAGTTTGTTTCACAGATTGTACAACTTAATTTTTCTTGTGTTTCTTCTTTTTCTTCTTCTTCTTCTTATTATTATACAGTACTTTTTTATTCCATATTATAGAAACTGCGAACTAAAAGAAGCTAGGAAGTGGAAATACTCAGAATGTGAAAACGTTATTTACTTTATGGAAGTTTTGACGAATTTAAATAGTATTTTCAAGTATAGGCAAAATTTTTTAAAAAGTTTATCTTTTTTGCAATATATATATAATTATATATTTTCAGTAACGCTGCGATAAAATTACTAATTGTAAGTTAAATGTTATGAAATGAAAATGACGTTGCATTTTTTTTCTAAAATGTGACCTTTGTTTGTAAGTAATTGTAAGTTTGTAACAATTTGTTTAGCACGATAATAATAATATAACAAAACAACTTGTAAGTTCGATAACGTGATATTACGTGCAATTAATGTGCATAATATTAAATATTTTTGATAAATACAAAAATTAAAAATTTTGAAACAATTGAAACTATAGCAATGTATAACAATTCTTTTGCATATTGGAAATTTATGTATCATTTTTACAATCTACGAATATAAATATTTCTTTTTTCATTAATTTAAAAAAGAAAATAAATTGTATTGTTATAATCATTAACAAATTTTATCGTTTCTATATTCGACCAAAAGATGTCGGCTTGGGTTACGTTGAAATTGAATTGAACGGTTAAAATATAAATTTTTAACATTGAAAATGAATTAATTAAAATAAATATTATTGAAGGAATAATTCAATATATTATGTATTGGAAATAATATAAATAATATAGTAATATATAAAATCTCTGAAATATAAATAAGATAGAAAAAAGGGAAGTATCTTTCAAAAAATTAGTGCAATCACTGTAATGTTAAAAAGAAAAATAGAACAAACAAATATTTTAAAGTACTTATTTTTCAGATATATATTACCAAATCATAATACTTATTAATAAATATTTAAATAGGAATAGGAAGGATTGTATAATGTTTAAGAAGAAGAAAAAGAAGAAGAAGAAAGAAGGAAGGAAGGATGATGGTAGTCGAGAGATGATATTTTAGTGTAAGTTTTGGTCGAAGGGTGGCGGTGATGTAGGCGAACCACCGTCGACGAAACTACCCCTCAGTCTGAAAGACACCGCGGAGCTTCGCGGACGCGCGCGCGCCCTTTCGTATGTGTGTGTGCTGTGTGCACGCGCGTGCGTGCGTGCGTACGTGTGGTGCGTGCGAAACAGGCTATAAGGGAAGAGAAAGAGAAGAAGAAGGGGAAGAAAAGAAAAGGGAAAGGATTAGTAAAGGGAATAGAAATAATTGGACAGTGCGCAGATAACGTGTAATTTTTTTTCTTTCTAAGACAATAGAGAAATAAAAGTATCTTTTCCGCGTTTGAGAAAAATCTTGTAGAAATGATAGAGATTAAACAGAGAAGGTTCTAATTTGCGAAGAATAACTAAATATCGTTGATTAGAAAGGAGAACAAAAAGGTGCGACGTTTATCGTGGCTTTTGGGTTGAGACAGAAAGAAATAGAAGAAAGAAAAAGAAGGAGAGGGAAAAAGAGGGTCAGAGTCAGCGATCTCTTTTGATTGTTTGCCAGGAACTCTTCCGAGTGACATAACGCGCGAGCATTCGCGAAGGAATTTCACGTTTGAGCTCGAATCTCCTTCAACGAGCTCTTTGTAAACGAAAACGAAAACGAAAGAGAGATAGAGGTAGATAGATAAATAGATAGATAGATAGAATAGTACGAAGAATGAACGGTGAAGGAAGAAAGAACATATTATTATATTGGTGAGATTCTCTCTCTCATCGATAGTAATTTTTGTTTCATTTCTTTCGAAAAATCTTTAGTTTTAGCTACACCTATCTCTTGTCTGCAGTTGTCCAATGAACAACCACTATACCACGACCGAACAACTACATGCGTCGCGTAACCGCGTGGAATTGGCTACTAAGTTCGCGCGAGTGAATCGTGGCTGAGGATTGGTCACTCGTTAATCGTTGTCATTGTCATCGGTGCGCTTTCTCTTTTCTCCAATTATTAATTATTTTTGACGCGATCATAATACATATATAATTACGTATGAAATAAGGAAGAGAATTTCTTCGTTGATTTAGTTATCGAAACGATCAATTTCGTAGAAATCAAGAAGATCGACAGGTTTTTTCTACCAAAGTACGGGTGGACTTAGAAAAATCGAAGACGGACATGCGAAGACGAGAACAATGGTAAGTCCAATGAATTACTAGGGGGTTTAGGGTACGCCATTTTAACTTTCCTTACGTATATATTTGATAAAATAATTCTACACTTAACGTTCTTTTTATTTTATAATTATTATCAAATATCTCTCATATAACTATACTTTTCATCGATTTGCGTAGGCTAATCTTGTAAACGAAAATTACTTAGAAATCATCGTCGCTTACGGTCAACATTAAGTTGAGATTACGTGTTGCCAAGATCGTTGAAATTTGAAGTTCTTAGAATAGCGCCAAATGTTTTGCCGTTTTATACTCTTAACTATAAAAATTTCTATCCTTTGTCTTGATTTGATTATATTTTCGCACAAATGAAATTTCTCTACAAAATATATGAATTTTCTATTTTTTCTTTTTTTCAATCATCTTTATTGAGGGTATAGTTTTATAGAATATTAATGGCGTTCAACATTCTATCTCGAGATAATTTCGTCATATGAATTCAAAACGTCAAATAAGGAGCTGCGTAAAAGATATCGATCTTTGTACTACAAAGAGTCACGTTCGTTTTTTAATTAACATAAAATATTGTCATATATGCCAAGAGAAAATGTAAAGAGAAGAAGAAGATGAAGAAGAAGAAGAAGAAGAAGAAGAAGAAGAAGTTAAGTTCCTAGCGTGCACAAAGTATTATTTTGAATTCATTTTATCATTATTTATCAAAGTGAAGATAGAACGCGTCGGAAGTACGAACTTTGTGTCGCAGCATTTGAAATTTATTATTTCTTTATTAATTCTTGCGAGAGAATGAAAAGAGAAGGAAAACCAGAAGAATAAAAAGAGAGAGAGAGAGAGAGAGAGAGAGAGAGAAAACAAGGTATAAAAATAAGAAAAATAATAAAAAAGAAATAAAAAGAATAAACGAGAGCTCACGCGACTTTAGGATCGATCCCTTTGCATTTGCTGAGTTAATGTATAACGTATATGTATTATACTTTTGAACGTATATGTGAGACCGTAATCCGATTGTCGCGAAGCAAGTCGAACATGTACACACGATTGTTACGAGCGTGTTAAAAGCGATTGGCTTATTATTTAAGTATAAATGAAGTTAGTTTAGCCGAACTGAATTGTTTCGATTCGATCTTCTTATTTCCCAATTTTAAAAATTACGATTAGTGTTATATTTTTCTCGTATACATACACACACACGCGAGCGCACATGCAATCGTATTCTCACATGTGTAAATATGTACTACACTTATATTTCGTAAAATCTTTTCTATACCGTTCCGTTTCACTTCGATCCAACATGCGTACTGGTCGTTCTATTTATTTCTGCCACGTTTTGGCAGTAAACTCAAAAGCATAGGCGTATGAATAAAATGAGTTTTTCGTTCTTGAATATATTTATTTCCTTTCTTCTTTCTCCTTTCTGAATCATTGGCATCGCGCAAGAAGTTAAAAAAAAAATAAATTAAGAACGTGAAGAGGATAGCTCTGTAACAATGTATTAATTTATTCATTTATTTATGTATTTATTTATTATTATTGTTTATTCTATTTGCGGCATACTCTCAGATTTTCATTCCATTTCGAGTAGACTAACACGAAGGTTAGTGCAATTTATTTACTACTTCCTTCTATGTAACAACTCGAGCAGATATTCGCTTGACACCATTCTTCGTTTATTCAATTATTTCGACGTTCTGCAAAACTCATTTGCACTTTGGTCGATAGTATGGCCTTCGTTCGATGCGTAAAATATTCATGTCGCTATCTATCTATATTTGTTTTACCATCCTTCTGATTGTTTATGCGTTTAATGTCCTTTATCAACGTGTCAAAAATATGTGTGTGCACTTGTGTGCGCGTTACACATTCATATATGATTATTATTATTGTTGTTATTGCTATTATTATTATYATTATTTAATGGTTCACTCGATTTTCTTTCATAATTGAACTTTAGTTTCACTTAGTACTTAGTACTTTTGTTTAATGATTTTTGTATGTTTCATTCATTTCTTCTTTGAGCTTAATTTTCTTTTATATACATTTTATCATCACGTAATAGGATTGTTCGTTTATTTTCAAAGATGATTCACTTTTAAGCGCATTGCAAGCTTTAGATAAGTACTTATGGCTTTTCTTCCGATTTAGCTCTCGTTAATTTAACATTTTTTTATCTCGTAACATTGTCAGATGCATCAATAAATCGATCCCCCTTCTTGTCTGTGTCTCTTTTTCTTCTTTTTCTCCTTTTTCTCTTCTGAAAACATTTACAGAGTAGCTTATATTATATTTATTTATGTAGGGTGGGACAAAAGTTCCTAAGTGATTTAAAAAATCAATAATACTTATTTAAGACTTTTTAGGCTTGTAGTTAGACTCATAGTTTTATATTTTGCAAACTGATTGGAAAGTTTCGCAAAAAAGAATAATTGATTTTTTAAATCACCGTAGAATTTTCAACCAAGCTTATATTAGTTTTTATCATTTACACATGTTCTGTGTGTAAACTTTTTTTTGCCTTCTTTGGAAATTTCTCAGTCTTTTGTTCGAAATAAAAAAATCGTCAAAAGAAGAGGAAGAGTTAGGAGAAACTTTTTGGTCTTTGACGAAATAGCGTCAAGAGTACGTGATCCACAGGATAATATTATATCTTAATCCTTCTAAAAACACATTGAGAAAAGTTATATAGCCAGACAAACCCTTATATGGTTGCTCACACTCATTGCGGTCACAATCTGGCACAAATGTTTCCCTTGGCAAGGTAATAATCCTTACACCATTTGAAGCTAAGTGGCGTTATGAAGACAAAGACGTTGAAGAGCTTTTTCGTTTATCTGTCAAATGAATTGACGTTTCAGAACACACTTCTCTTTTCTATGAAATTATTTGTATATTAATCATTCTTCATTCGTTTATTTATTTTCTTGTTTATTAACCCTTTATAACATCATGCAACTGCGAAGTGTATATATATTTTGAATATTATTTATGGTTTGTTTTATTTATTACGAAGTTGTACTTAGTATAATACAATGATAAAAACTATTGTAAATAATGTTATATATTAGTTATTATATTAATTTGTAATATGTACAATATTATTCTTCATCTAAATTTTTATGAAAATCATATTCGATATTTCTTTCAAATGTTAGTATATTTTATATTAGCAATTTGTAATATTTATATTTTCCGTCGCACATACATACATCTGAATTTTTATAATACTCACATTCGATACTTCTTTCAAATTTAAATTTGTTTTTCATTATAACATATTGTTAATAACTTTTATAAAATTTTCATTATATAATTTATTTGAGGATAGAAAAAATAATGTAACACAGGGTTTAACGATTCATCAATTATCCAAGCAAGCATTCGTATCAATGGATATTTTTCGTAGTTATTGCAGATGTTTAATTATCAAGGATATGTCGAAGATATTTATAAAGCATCGATTTTCTACTCGCTCACAAATCAACAGAATCTTTCGCATAATTCGTTTCGTGTCAACGTTGCTGATGGGAATGGTGGTTTGTTTATTTTTCGTATCTTCCGAGTAACAAGCATCAAATAAACGAACAAACGAAAGAACAAGTATAACACTCGGAACAATCATCACGTTGGTTTATTACAGTAGAATCTACCTTCGGATATCGTTGGACATAGTTCATCAGTTATAAAGGTTATAATTATTTAATATTAATAATAATTTAAAATTTAAATTAGATTATTCAATCATTATCAACAATTAAGCATTACGAGATTTTATGATTTACACCTATACATATTTATATACGTTTATACATAAATTTTATTAAAAATATTAGGGCCTTGAATAAGTTCTCGCTGTTTTTACAAAATAAAAATTTTATTTAAAATATAAGGAACGTTTTATATTTATATATTAAAATATAATAACGTTTTATTGAAAGTATTGCCCATCTAGAGACCACTTTCTTCCATCTTTCTGGCAGTATATGAATTCCGTGTTGGAAAAACGACATGTCTTTTGAGGCTATCCAAGAATCGACTCATTTTTTAACTTCTTCGTAAGAATGAAAACGCTGGTCAGCTAAGTCATGTGCCATCGAACGGAATAGGTGAAAATTGGAAGGGGCTATGTCAGGTGAATACGGCGGGTGGGGTAGCACTTCCCATCGAAACGTTTCCAGGTAGGTTTTCATTGGTTTTGTAACATGAGGCCGGGCGTTGTCATGTAACAAAATCACTTTGTCGTGTCTCTTCTCGAATAGCGGCCGTTTTTCTTTTAGGGCTCGACTCAAACGCATCAATTGAAGTCGATAGCGATCCCCCGTGATAGTCTCATTCGGTTTGAGCAGCTCATGATAAATTACACCCTGCTGATCCCACCAAATACAGAGAAGAAGCTTCGAACCATGGATATTTGGTTTTGCGGACGATGTTGATGCATGGCCAGGCTTACCCCATGATTTTCTACGCTTTAGATTATTATAGTGTATCCATTTTTTATCGCTAGTCACGATACGGTGCAAAAAAACCTTTTCTTTTCTGCCGTTGAAGCAGTAGTTCACACGTGACAAAACGCCGTACGATGTCTTTTGGCCTCAATTCATATGGCACCCAATGTCCTTGCTTCTGGATCATTTCTAACATTTTTAAACGTTTTGAAACAGTTGACTCGTCAACTTGTAATGTTTTTCCAAGTTCTGCTAGCGTCTGAGATCGGTCTTTATCAAGTAATTCCTCCAATTCTCTGTCTTGAAATTTTTTTGGTGCGCCAGAACGTTCTTTATCCTCAAGTTCAAAATTATTTTTTTTGAAGCGTCGAAACCAGTCTCTGCATGTCGTATCCGACAGAGCATTGTCACCATAAGTCTCAACAAGAATTCTATGTGCTTCAGCTGCCGATTTCTTTTGAATAAAGTAGTGCCAATAAAATTCCCCGCAAATACATTTTAGTTGGCACAAAAGTAGACATTTTCAAAAATAATAAAAAATTACTTTGTTTACACTAAAGTGAACTA